TTATGCAAGCCCCTTCGCCACGACAAGGCAGGGATCCATGAAGGGGATTAAAATGTTTACATTATACAATAAAATTATAAAAATATAAAGAGCAAAACAATTTATTACAACAGATTTTATTATTATTATTATTATTAAACTTGTAAGCCGCCCAGCTCCCAACGACTCTGGTGACAGTTGGTGAAAAGTTAGAGAAGGAAACAAAAGGAAAACCTGGGCAGACACATTGATTTTCAGTTTATGGAAGAAATATTTCCAAGTGGAGACTTGCCTAATCTTTAAAGAAGTTTATTCTACATGCTGTGACCCAAAACACAAGGTTTCTATTTTGTTTCAAAAATGAATATGCTACTGTTAGCTGAACATTCTCCTTGAAACAAAAAGATTGGGTTGATATATGAAGAAAAAAGAAATTTATCAGATAATCTAATCTTCACATATTTAGGGCCTTAAAAGCCAACATAAATGCTTTGAAAATTTGGATACCCAAACCATGCTTTTCAAATCTCTCTGACCTTTTTCTTTAAAATACATCAAATCAATAAGGCTATTACTCTGTTCCTTTTCCTATGGCTGTGTCTTTCAAAGCAATGTTTTAATTTAAAACATTTACATCCCAAACTTTCAAGATATCTTGCAACATACAATTTAAACAATTCTTCACATTAAAGTAGCTTGTTTTTAAAAGTCACAAACATAGTAAAGAGGAGGATACCACTAAAATACCACCAAAAAATGGATAAATATAGTAACAGTATTTTTTTATGGCACCTAAAGATTATCAGAATTAAGTGCCATCATGGAGGATAGTCTGTCCCTAATAGATAAGCAGAAAGCCAGATGTAATTTGAAGAAATTTTTAAGAGCCAAGGAGATTTATATCCAGCTGCCTTTCCTTCAGATTTTATGTGTTTACTGTCTTTCAAAATGGAGTACACTTTCATTTTCCAGATGTCAATAACGATTTTTGAGTAAATCTACATGAAGCTTCTATATTAGGGGAGAGCTAGTGTAATGTAGTGATTAAGATGGATTAGAACTGGAGAGACTCCAGTTCAAGTCTCCTTTCAGTGGTGGAAGCTGAGTGACTTTGAACCAGTCAGTCTCAGCTCAACCTACCTCACAGGTTTGTGGTTGTGAGGAAAAAATTGAGGAAAGAGTGCAGTATATTTTTAAGATCCTGAAGGAAACCCATCTAATAAATAAATAAAATAAATTCTCCATGTGATATTTTCAGTGTTACTTCCAGCAAAATTGGTGACCCAAAGTCTTAAAAACTGCAGTAATGTTATGTGTTATTTAAATTTTATTTTCATTCATCAGATTATTATCATTTCTTAGGTATTACTGTCTTGCAGCTGTTGCTGCCATGCTGAAATACATTGAGTTCATTCAAAATTCAGTTTATGCACCTAAGTCACTTAAAATTCGTTTCCATGGAAGTGAGCAAACAGCAATGATTGATTCAACATCAGCCCTAAATCTTGAATTAATTACTAACAATAGAGATCCTAGGTAAGATATTTTGTTTCAAATTCTAAACTATAGAGAAGATGTGAACATTATACTTGCAATTATGACATAGTGTTGGATACAAATCTGTGGTTTAAAAATAGTATTTGTCAAGTGAAGATACATTTTCAGTCATTAAAATATTTAAAGGAAGATGATAGAATGGAAGCATTCAAGTGCCATTATATTGTTCTCTTAGCAACTTGTACTATAACAAATGCTAATTTAAAAAGTATTGGCCCCATTCATATGCCATGCTGATTTATAAAATGAGTAAGCAGCAAATTTATTACAGTACTGCCCAGTAGCCTCTATCACAAGGGACTAGAGTAGTATTATTTCCAAACTTCTACTTGGTAACAATTACATGTAGGATTCTACTTTCATCTAGTTTATTTAATCCTAAAATAATTTGCTGCAAGCTATGATTATATTCTGTTGAGTGAATCCTCCATAATTTTCAGTACCAGAAACAATTTGAAAACTTGTGGTTAGAGATATTCAGATATGCACCTGTTCCTCTGGGATATACCTGAGAATTTGGATATATTCAGTTTTGTATTTCTACTAGTAGTGAAGTGCATTTTCTTTTTTCAACAGTATTGTTTGCAAGGTATGAAAACTTCTTTAAAATATTTTCTATATGATAAGACAATGCCATACCCTTTGTGAAAACTTTTCATTTTGTTCTCATTTCTTTCTGATTAACACATGTAGTTCAGCAGATTTGTTTGTTCTCAATTCATCTCCAATATTTCAAGTATTGAGACTTGCATATTATGAATAACAGCACAAATGACTCAGTTGTCTGTTCTGAATAAGGTTTCTCCTCCCTTTTCTTCTCTAAATTCATATTTTTTTAAAAAACACTTTTTTTTTGCAGTGTCTACTTCCTAGCCATATTGTAGAGGTCATCCAACATAAAATGCAAATATAGTATGTATTTTATGAAGGTAGTGTTGCAAATAATTATTACTGTTTACTAAAAGTGCAAACATAAAGAATGGTTTTTATTTCAGTGTATATTACTTCTGGTCTTTTAGTCTTTTCCCAAAGCTAAATTTGACTCCCTTCTCTCAGTTTGTTTCTTTATTCATCTACATACCAAGTAATATCTTCCTTTTTAATTTTTAAAGTGTTTACTTGAAGCTTTCCACCCACAGGAATTGTAACTGTCATCATAACTGTCTCAGGCCCAGTACATGACACCAAAGCCAGGTGTCTAGCTATTTCATTATTCACAGAATATAAATCTAAAAAACATAAACAGTAAAAAAAAAAAATCACACAGTACCTTGTGATATTTGACGCTAGAAAGAATTTTTTATGAAACAGTGGGATATAGGTATAATGAAGGGTTTTTTTTAACCAAATAAAGTTGATTTAGAAAGCCAGTTTGGTGTAATGGTTAAGGCACCAAGCTAGAAACCAGGAGACTGTGAGTTCTAGTCCCACGTTAGGCACAAAGTCAACTGGGTGACTTTGGGCCAGTCACTCCCTCTCAGCTCTAAGAAAGAGGCAATGACAAACCACTTCCGAAAATGTTGCCAAGAAAACTGCAAGAACTTGTCCAGGCAGTCACCAGGAGTCAACACTGATTCGAAGGCACCAAAAAAAAAAAAAAACACGGTTGATTTACTTCTTCCTTTCTTCTATCTTTAAGAGCTTTGTTATATGTCACTTGACTGTAGGATGGGACAGGCATGCTGGAGGTTCAGGAGTTTATACTGGGGTGCTTTGTAATGTTTTATGTTTGGCTTGCTGTTATATAATGTGTTAATTCAGCAATGGTGACCTTTTACTTTGATCTGGAAATGAATCAGGGTTCAGTAAAATCTCAGTTTTCATTGTGATATTTGTGATTTACATATATGGGTCCTGTATCTCAACAACAGCCTATTTGGAATTTTCTTGAGCCTACAGTTTTTGGTGGGAGCCCCATCTTTCTGTAACACATATTCATGTAAAGATAAATCTCCAACCATTCTGCTCAATTATTTCTGACTGCTATTGTGGTAACATCCAAAGTTTTCTTCTCTAACCTAGCATTTCTTGGATCTTTTTCAAATAGACTCCAAACTCTGTTTAGATATTTACATGAATGTGTCAAATGTAGCAAACTTCCACTGTTTGGCAATAAATTCTTCTGTTTGATTTGTCTAGATAAGGAGCCTATGCTAAAACCTTGTCCACACTGTCAGGCTTTCATGAGGCAAACCATTGAAACCTGTCTCAGAGCATTCCTTTGGAAACTGGCTGTTAGTCCGACTAACTTCACAGTTAAACTGCCATCAGATGAAGTCTCTAAACATTGCAGAAATTTACTCAGCTATTTGCATAAACCGCTCAGACTTTTCAGATTTATAATTTTGGGGTGGTAGTAGCAAAATCTTAAAGGACTTTTATCTATCTGCAAAATAAACTTGGAACAAATTATGCTACTTCTCTCTAAATAAATCTGGTTATGTCACAGGCCCCATCTACTCCTGCTAGGTCTCTGGTACCATGCCTTTGATTTTAGGAACTCTGTGTTCCAATCCCATTTGTACATACTAAAAAGCAGAAAATGACTTCTGATCTCAAAACAAAAAACAGAAAGACAGAAAGTACAAAGCTAGGGCTATCCTCCACCTCAGATCCAAAGGTTCTACACCTTTAGTTCTGGTAGAGATCATGCTTTTCCATTTAAGATATAAATGAGCCACCATAACAGCCAAACATTTAATATTTTCAATTTTATTAACATCATTTTTAATCTTCCCGTGTCCCAAAGGACTTTGGCCAGCAACCAGCAAGAATAAAAACTTCAAAACCAACAGTACCTCAATAAAACAAATATGCAAAATAATTTAATATTGTATCATAATGTACATAATGGAATAGGATTTCTTTTACCTGCTTTCAAAATGGAAGGAAGGAAGGAAGGAAGGAAGGAAGGAAGGAAGGAAGGAAGGAAGGAAGGAAGGAATTATTTATTAATTAGAATGATGTAGTTGCCCAATTCAGCATAATCATAACTCCAGGCAGCATACATCAGATTTGTTTGTTTGTTTATTGGTGCCTTCGAGTCATTG